CCTGGTCATTGAACATTTTGGTCCCCACAATTGACATGTCAGAGCCAAATGATAAATGACCAGTCCCAAAAACAAGACCACTGGCATCAAATCAATGGAATGATATATCAAATAGAACAATGTCATTGACCTGTATGCCTGGCCAATGATTAGAAATAGCAAATTCATGATTAACCCCTACTGAACCATGGGATAAATCCCATGCTACGTCACAACGCCAAAAGGGTAACTTTCAAACAGTCAATTTTAAGTACACTCAGATTTTAGGCACAGTCTGTTAAAAAACAGTCAATTTTTGTCAAGCACAGTCAATTTTCGGTTTCTCAATGAGCTACAATAAGTCTCTGACCAATGTTGTCTCATTTCATTTTACTGAGTTTCTAAGTAGTTTTTTTTACAAAAAAAAATTATATGTAACTGCTATATAAACCACATATTCCTAAGCTCAATGCTCTAATTGTCTATGTCCATGCTTTGTAATACATAAAAAGTGATCTTACTACTGAATTTGTGACATTACGTAATAAAATAATTGAGCGAGGCAACATGCAACCTATCTCCTTTTAGTGGTTGCTTCAAGAATAATCGTGAGGTTCACATACTAGAGAGGGTAATCGAGCGAAGCGAGCACACCCTCTAGTAATAATAATGGTAATTGATAAAAATAATAATTATTATTATTATTGTTATAGGTGTAATTTTTCCCTACAGTACTTGACTTACAAAATTTACTAAATACTCAGTACGTGTGAAAACAATTGCATTTCCACGTCAGGTAGGGCAAAATTACACCTATACTTGATTCTCCTGACGCAAATCCAGTTATTGTCTATTCCATCACGACAAAAACAATTACTACCTATTATTATTGTTATTGTTATTATTAATAAAAATAATAATAATATATGATCCTAAACAATAATAAATATTGTTCTATAATTTTAAATACTTTTGTGCTTTTGTCAATTGGATTTTTATGTTGATACTTATATCTTTGATCAATATTATTGTGATTTCATTTGAAATGTACTTTTTGTGAGCTTTGTAATTTCTTTGTTTTCATTGGAAACAATACATTCTATTGTATCCTGTAGCTCAATAGATGCTGATGCTATACTTACCAAGATAATATATGGTTGGTTAACCGGCAAGGTATTACTAATTAGCTCAAATTTTAGGCAATATTTTTTTTTTTATTTTGAAAAAAGGGCAGTCTTCCGAATTCCGATCAGAATTTCCCATGAAACATCTGACAACAAAATGCAGCATTAGTGGCGCTGAGAGGCCGGAGCATACGGGGCAAGTACAGTTCCCAGAGGCCGGTAGGGGCCTTGGATGCTACTGTAGGTAGAAAATTTAATAAAATAAAATAACAAAAACTATTAAACGTACACATTTATCCAGTATTATTTATGTGTTTTTTCCATGAGACTTGTAAATAAAGCAGATCGTTTATAGACAAAACCTCGTAATTAATGGCTTCTTATTCTTTTTCATGACTTCTATGTATCAATAGTAAATTCTTTGCGTTATTAATCGATAATTATCAAAGGTTCGGTCCCTGGACATCGTCAATATACATACAGAAAATATGAATAGACCTGATAGAGATTCTATTGTGATCAAATATATTGAATTAAGATATTAAACCTAATTTTTGTCAAAATTTAACAAAAATTGAGAAAAAAAAAAGAGAATTCTACTCAAACTCACTTAAGTCTTAAGTGTGCAAATAAATAAGTTTCCATGATGTTTAATATACTGTAAAAATCATAGTTACCTACCTGAGAGATATGAAATGCGTGACTACACCAGTTGGGTGGGGGGCTGGGCACTGGTGTCCAGTGCAGAATTACCGGATTCCAGTCACATAATCAACGGTTGGTTGTGACAATAAACGCGCAAGACCGCACACAACTACTAGATTCTACTAAGTGCATGGTTGGTTGGGTTGTTTTTGTTGGGAAAGAGAAATTTCTTGGTGAATTGATTCTCGAACGAGATAACGAAAGCTGACTCAAGCTACTGCATGACCGTTTTTATATCTTTTAATAAAACCAATTTCTTCTAAATTTAAATTAAATACATTTGCCTCTGAATTTGTGATAATTCATTATCAAGCAGAGACTTGTGCCAAATGCGTGACAAATTTATGATCACTCATGTGTTTCGGCAAAATGCGTGTTTCATCCAAAATCATTTTGAAATTCGGGAGCATCCCACTCGATGCGAGACGGTTGGTAACTATGAAAAATGAGCACTGTACATTTAAATTAACTAGCAATTTATTAATTACTGCTGATTGCAAAATGGCATCAGCTCGTCGTGCTACCGAGTACAGAAACGCTGCATTTATAATAAAAGCCAAAAAGGTATGTTTTTGTTGAAAAATGTACCATTTTTAGTATTTACCTAGTTAATATTTAAGAGGCCTAAAACTCTAGACCTCGACCTACCACTACTACTAGGCCTAGGCCTAACCTAGGCCTAGTAGCCCCTATAGGCCTAGGCCCTAGGAGGCCAAGGTAAGGCCAAATACTAAATAGGGCCAGGTCTAGGCTGGCATGGCATAGCCTTAGACCTAGCCTAGGCCTATAATATCTTGCTTGGCACAATTGTCTTACTTTTACTTAATCAACTTAAGCAGACTGTCTCAATAACCAACGCCTTATTATTATATAGCCCTAGACTATATAAAACTAGCGGATTCCGAACTAGAAAGTAGGCGAGTATGTCAACGTCGGTTTTACGCTCGTTTTCTCGTGCCGCAAAAACGCCCTCTAAACAACTGACAGACAATCTATCAAATTTCGACACCACAAAAAAAAAAAAAATAAATAAATAAATAATTAAAAAAATTAATTAATTAAAATTATTTAGTTAGATACGTTTGCAGTTGACCCTCTAATTTGACACCACCTTTTGTGCATGAAAGTTTGGGGTCGTCTCGGGGCTCGACCTCCACATAGTGGGTTTAATAGCTTAGATTAAAATAATAGATTGGAGATTGTTATTTCAGGGAGATGTAAACCCTGGTTATTTGGTCCATGAAAAGGGTCTCGATGAGGGGTCTCGGAATTGGGGGCCGGGTCTCGAATTGGAGGGTGCATTGTATTTATTAGGTAAACACAAGGATAAAAAAAAATAATAAATACAGTGCACCCTCCATCCATTCCTGATGATGACAATTGACATTTAAATGTCGAAATATTTCCCTACACGATGGCGTGCATTTCGTACTTGGAGTATGTATTAGGCCCTATATTGGTTTTGCATTGGTATATATTGATACTGATATTTATATTGAGATTTACATTATAATATTAATTATCCGATAAACATCATGGACACTTTACTAACAAATTATAAGCCACAGCCCCGTAAACACGGACTCATCAATGCCAAAAGCATGATCGCCATATCTGATGAAATCATCAAAATAATCACCACTGCACACACAGTGCTAACGAGACCGTAAACGCAAAGATCAACTAAGAAGGGCCTATAAAATGGGCAAGTAATTCAACCTACCACCAATCCCAAAAAATCATGCCTATTCTTCTCACGACCCATTTTTTTTTTCAGTTTCATAAAATATTATTTCGCGAAATTGAGACATACTGATAAACATCACAGGCCCGAGCAAGAATTGCCGGGGGTGGTCGCTTGGAACCCGGCCCTCACAGAGGCAACAAGAAAAAGCCGGTTTGAAAGCAGGGCCATACGGGTTCCGATGGTAATGAAATGACTCAAGATTTCAATTTATTAGGCTACTGAAAATAACAAACCTTATACTCTGTCTCTTATACACATCTAGATGTGTATAAGAGACAGGGTAAGGCCAAATACATTATTATTATTATTATTATTATTATTATTGTTGTTGTTGTTGTTGTTGTTGTTGATGTTGCTGTTGTTGTTGTTGTTATTATTATTATTGTTATAGTTGATATTATAATATTAACTATTATAATTGATAATATTATTGTAAACAATATAAAAAATAGAGTAATAACAGTTTACTGTTTGAACAGTTCACTCGACTCTATGTAGGAACATTTTACCATGTGCGCAAATTGCAATCAATAGGGTACTTCAGAGCTTTACTTGTTCTGTTCTGCATTAAGCCTATAGTAGTAGGCCTATGACCTACATTGCAAATATATATGTGAAAGCCTCAATTACTATGACGTTTTCATGTATACTTCAAAACTTAATATTGATAATTCTCATTCGCTGATTACAAAATTAGTTGCCCGTACCCAGATAGTTTCTTCCATTTTCAAGAATATAGACCAACAAAGAGATCTATATTTGTGATAATACACTTAGGGGATTCCCCTAAAATTATATTGTGGAAAGTCGTGTTGGTAAGAAGGAATTAATACAATAGATGTTTTAGCTCTCTAATGGTAACACAAATATTATGTTATTTAAGCAAAATGTGATTGAGGAGAGTCAAAGCTCAGGCAAAAATCGTGGAGATGAATAACCTTGGTCCAAGTAATACGTGTTTTCTTCGTGGAGTATCAGAATCAAAAGACGTTCGTTTCAAACAGCCTAAATAAATTATTATCATTCCCGCCATGCCGACCGCAAAGAAATAAAATAAATTGCTCTTCCGATCAGTCTTATGGGACCGACCGCAACGATTATTTTACATTTACTACTATACCTACTAGGCTATGATTCAAAATCAAGCCTTATTACATTCAAATAATTTGTAGAAATTAATCTTGGAATAAAAATAAGATTGGACTTCCTCCTTACTTTAAAAATAATGCTAACTTCTGCAGGCCATACTATAATACGCATGAGCAACGTGACCAGATAATGAATATTCACAACCAAAGATTAGGTTAAACTTTGAAAGCGTTCTGCTCGGCTCATTAATAAAAAGCATATACGCTAAGTGAGACGCACACTTGAATTTTTTCCCGAAACTTACACAGATGGAGTCATTGTTGACATGTTTTCTTGTGACGATTTTAGTGATTCATTCTGGAAATGGTAATGATTCTTTAAGTTATATATATATATTAATATTAGGTCTACATTAATTATGTTTTCTAGGATTATGGGAGCAAGTGCAGCATTTTGTTTAAAAAAAAAAGTAAAAATGCCAAGGGACCAAACTACTTAAATCACCCATTTAGTCAAAACCATGAGAAACAGTCAGTGGCGTAACGATATGGGACCGGGGGCCCTGTGTATTTCTGAAACTTGGGGCCCTTTTTGGGTCCCGGTCACCAATTCCATCGTGGGATTTTAGGTGTGCATTGTTATTTTAAATTTTTTTAACGACAAATTATATAATATGAATCCAGAAAATTGAGGCCAGGGAGAGACTTTCACAGTTGGAGAGTCTATACCACCTCAGACCCAGAGAATGATTGGGGCTGCTGAGTAAGAAAATTTATGAATATGGCACCTTTAGATGGCCGGAAATGGCACTTCTTCACAGACAAAATTATGAATTTTCTTTTTATCTCCAGTTAAAAAATATTTTGACAAATTTAGTGGGCCCCAGGCCGGCAGCTCCCCCTCCCACACTTTATTCCACCTTTGGATATAATATGATATTTCCTACAGTCGGTTTTTAGACACACATGATGCCGTTGCCCTTGTGGGGCTGAGATAAGAAAATGTATTACTGTGGCACGAGATGGCCGGAAATAGCACTGACAGACTTCAAATTGTGAATATAATTTTCTTTTTATCTCCATTAATTTTTTTTGACAACTTTGGTGGGGTCCCGGGCCGAGAGTGTGGGGGGGGGGGCTTCTCTTTAATCATTAATATGATATATGCCCTACAGACGATTTCATTATGGACGTTTATTTATCGATAAAGTCCTTTTTGGTCAGGGTGCTAGATCGAGGAACATATGGGTATGGGCCCCTTCGAGGCCCCTAGATTTCGGGAGCCCTGCGGACCGCCGCATGAGAGCGCATAGGCGTTACGCCACTGGAACCAGTGGCGTAGCTAGGGGATAAAGTGGGGCACGTGCCCCGGGCCCCATGTTTTTTTGGGGGTGGGGAGGGGCGCTGAAATGGGAGAATAAGAATAAAAAAATAAGCACTTTTTATAAAAACACGACGAAATTGATGTATGTCGTCAGGCATGAATATTTTCCAGTTAATAATAAGCATCTGAATGTAGTTGTTTTTATTGGCAAATTTATAGATTGTGATTTCTTTTCAGTCCATTTCGACCGTTTTCTCTTGTTTTTTATTTTTATCCTATTCTGTAATGACACTACATGACTGCTCATCCTGCCATATCTCAGAGCCACGATGGGAAAAGCGAGACTATCTGCTTTGGCACTACTTTTGAGCGTGATGAAGCAGACAACATTGCTAACTGATCATGTTATTAACTTATTTGCTGATGCAAAAGCACACAAAAAGTCAGTTGTGAGTTTAATGTTAAAAATTCAGCAACTTACAAGACCCTACTATAAGATAAATTTAGAGAATAAGAGTACTATAAGCTGTATGCGATAAATACAACAGCCTTACAAATTAGGATAATGGTAAAGTTGTATACAAAGTTCTGAACATCGTAATGCAGTTTCAATAGTAAGAAACAGGGGTGGCGCCGGCTCCACTTCAGAGATAGCTGCGCCCCCACCCCGTCGGGGAGAAATACCATAATTCGTTTCGGGGGCTTCGCCCGCAGACCACTTTCGGAAGATTTTAGGCGACGCTCGATCACGCCCACTTTGCTCTCGTCAAGAAAATCTCCCCCCCCCCAGACCTCGGACCTCCCTCGGGCAAATCCTGGCACCACCCCTGGTAAGAAAGAACAGATGAGAGCTAGAACAATAATAGTTATTCGGGTTTAAATAATGTTATTTAGACAGTGCATGATATGATATGATATGATATGCTTAAAGTCTATACAACCAATATCAATTTATTTCAAAATATTATAATTATAATTGGGGGAGGGGGCACACATTTCTACTCTTTCCCCGGGCGACAAAAAATGATGATGATGATGACGATAGTAATATTTGATAATAATAATATTAATAGCAATAAAAGTGAAGAAAATTGTGCTAAATGCAAAAAAAAGTTGTGATGGTTGAGCTGCAAGGTATGGTTGTAAAAACATGTTTTTGAAGTAGGCCTATGTAAAGTACCGTACATACTCAAAGACAGCCTGTGTTTTAAGCTTTGTTTTCTATGGTATATCACACACACATTAATAAGATCTCTATGGTTGTCAAAAATCCCAAAAATTTGAGCTTCATTTTGACTAATGGGGATGTGATGATGATGAATTTTACAAAAAGTGGCCATCTAGAGGTGTATATAAATGTTGCTAATAGTAATCGAGGTTTTGTTCGTTATTCCCTCATATCTTTTCCAGGAACTGTTTTAATTGTATTTAATTAAGAATATACTAAAATATTGTCAAACGTAGAGTAGGCAAACTTTATCCGTACGTACATAAGTAACAGCACATTCTTATATCGGTTAAAACTCGCTAGCATATTGCTAGCCGGTACTCTTTTATAGCATACATTTTGTCTCTTATACACATCTAGATGTGTATAAGAGACAGATATATATATCATGAAGCCTCCGTGGTCTAATGGTTATGACGCTCGCCTTGACAGCGAGAGGTCGCAGGTTCGAGTCCCGCCAGAGGCATTTATTTATTTTATTCATTTACAGGACTACATTCGTTGAGAGCTATGGTACACGATGTATTATTATGTCCTTTATTCGAACACTGTAGTTGCCTTTCTTTGATGATTTATATATATAATTTAACAGTGTTAACGGCTATTTTGATTTATAGTATACGCAACTATTTGTTTCTAGCCGTAGTTATTGTGTAATGGAGTGTATCTGGTGGTTCAACCATGAAGCCTCCGTGGTTTAATGGTTATGACGCTCGCCTTGACAGCGAGAGGTCGCAGGTTCGAGTCCCGCCAGAGGCATTTTATTAGGCCTACCTCTGTTTGATTGCACTGCATTGTGCTTTAAAAATACTGCCAAGTAAATTGTGGCTAAAATTATAATACGCATGATCAACGTGACTACAACAGATATGAATAATCACAACCAAACAATATACTTTGCAAGTGTTCTGTCCGCTCATTAATAGTAGACGTGATTGGAAAGTGAGACGCACACTAGATTTATTCCGAAACTTACGGAGATGGAACTATTGTTGATATATCTCTTTGTGACGATTTTAGCGATTCATTCTGGAAATGGTAATGATTCTTTCAGATAATATTTATGCCTACAATAATTAGACCTTCCTAGGAACTTAGGGGCAAGCGCAGAATTTTGCCGTAAGAATTAAAAATGTTGCTCAGGACCAAGGGGCGGGGAACCTGGACCCATTTCACCCACAAAAAGTAAGGGGAGGAGATGACTATTGAACAACCGTGAAGAAAAGTTAAATCCGTTAGAACATTTTTGTTCCAACGGAAAATGAACAAATTTATCGTTGATGGTTCTAATGTAACCGACACGAATTCCACATCTTCCTCATCGCCAATCAGGTTGATGAGGCTGAAGTGAATTAATTGTAAGAATATGGTAGGCCTATTGATTTTTCAAAGGTTTTGTAATTTGAAGACAAAAATCTTTATCTCCGACAATTATACTGCATAGTTACCAACCATCTCGCATCTCGCATACGCCAGGCTGTCACAAAAGCAAAATTACGAATTTTTTTGGGCGTCTGTTTGTGAAATCATGGGTCTTCGTTTTATAGACACGCTATGTGGGTGTTAAAACGAGAAAAAAGAAAAAAAAAAAAAAAAAGAAAGCCCCAATTATTTCTCAATTATCTTATTGAAAGTGTTTCAAAATCATCATAAAACAGTTGCCAAGTACCTATTTCATTATTTCATCACGATTGGGAGAAAAAAAAATGTGGGTCTCCGTTTTTCGGGTCTCGGTCTTTGTTTTTTTGGTGTCAATAAAACGATGACCCTTAATTATCTCATCCATCCTACGTTTGTGTCACTACCAAATGACCGATGCTGCACATATGCGTCACTGTACAGCATTCCTACTGTTTATTTTAACATGGATTAAATTGACTTAGATTGAGACAATAATGTGCTAAAAAGACTATATATATACGTAGCATGAAGTGATTTAAAAACATTATTTTCATCACGATTGAGAGAAAAAAATTGTGAGTCTTCGTTTTTCTGGTCTTCGGTCTTCGTTTTGTAGACACCCATATAGGGTTTCTATGAAACGAAGACCATTAGTATTTCTTGATATTCTTAATTTTATTTCGATAAAATAATGAAATAGGTGCTTGGCAACTGTCTTATGATGATTTTGAAATACTTTCAATAAGATAATTGAGAAATAATTGGAGGTCTTCGTTTTTCGGGTCTTCGGTCTTCGTTTTGTATATAGGCCTACCCATATAGGGTGTCTATAAAACGAAGACCCTTGAAAATTTCACAGGCGTCCAAAAAAATTGTATTTTTGATATTGTGACAGCCTGGTGTATTATCATCAAATTAAAAGAGAAAAAATAGGGATCTTCGTTTTTAGAATTTTCGGTCTTCGGTATCGTTTCATAGACACCGCCAAAACAACCCAGCCAACCATGCACTTAGTAGAATCTAATATAGCCGCGTTCGGTCTTGTGATTATCACAACCAACCATTGATTATGTGACTGGAACCCAGGCTTCCAGGGTTCCGGCACTGACCCCAGGGGCCCTGCCGCCCCCCCCCCCCAATTCCCACTTAACTCACGCATTTCAAATCTCTCAGGTAACTATGATATTGTGGGATCATCAGGGGTGGTTCCAGGATTTGCCCGACGAGGATCCTGGTAAATGGACGACATCCAGACTAGAACGACGTGGGCATGTTCGGGCATCGTTCAAAATCTCTTGTATGTGGATATTGGGGAAAACTCCAGGGGACACAATGACAGTTCAGGTGTTCAAGGCTTATTTAATCGATTTTTGAATCTACTAATATGTAAAATATAATTTTACATATTTTAAATAATACGCACCCCCCCCCCTGCGAATTCTTGATCTTATAATTTTTTTATGTCTACCCATCTTATCCGCGACGTAAAGCGCTTGTAATTAATTGTTCATATTCGCAATTTTCATTAATTCCATTTATTTATAATATAACATTTACATATAGGCCTAAGGTAAAATTTTAGTATTTTCAATGTCCAATAATATTACATTTTTTTATTGTGCGCTATAGACCTACATTTTTTCTTTTACGTTTAAATTTATTAATGTTTTATTTACCTTGTGCATAATTTTACATAGTATGTTGACATTATGAAGTACCTAAAAATCCGAAACACCACGTCGTTGAAAGTGGCACATTTCGTATCTAGGTTAGGCCTGTGTATGTCCAATTTGTAGGGATTTATTTTACTCCGACCTCGATGTATTTACGATTCTTTAAATTTAATCATATATTGAATGTTAATCCGTAATATAATTAATGACATTTCCACAATGTTTTTAATGAGATTCGAACCTGCGACCTCTCGCTGTCAAGGAAAGTGTCTTAATCATTAGACCACAGAGGCTTCATGGTTGAACAGATTGTCGGAGGCATTTTGATACACAATTTCTTTATTTATTTATAGGACAACATTCGTTGAGAGCTGTCCTACATGGCCTGGAGCTCTGAGCATTTTTAAGCTATTTTAAAACGATTTCAGAGTGCTTGTTGACAATATGCAATACGTACGGTACATAAACATAAATGTTTTTAATAAAGCCACGTACAATTTGAGTTACAATGTATGTTTAATTTTCTAATGACTCAAGTTCCTGCATGACCGTTTCTACATTTTTAATAGAACTAATTTCTTCTAATTTTAAATACATTTTCCCCCTAATAATTTGTGATAATTAATTATCACACATATACTTGTGGTAAAAATGCGAGACAAACTTATGATCACACATGTCTTTCTGCAAAATGCGTGTTTCATCCAAAATCCATTTGAATTGCGAGACCGTCCAGCACGATGCGAGACGGTTGATGAATTCAAAAAAGACGAGGTCTAAGGAGGGACTTCACTTCACAGCTTGAGGGTCTTGACCATCTGAGCTTCCCTCCCCGAATCCGCTGGTAGTCGCAGCTCTAAGCCTATTGTTTACCTAACTACAAACTTATAAAACGTGATAAGACCAAAAAGGCACAGGAAATATAATATTAGTGCAATGTCCGTATTTTTTCCCTTTAAAAATTGTAATGCTTTATTGTTCTTTCAGCCTCTCTAGTGATATCAGTGGACACGGATCCTATTTTGCCTGGCAATAATGTCACACTCACGTGCATCAGTTCTGATTCGGTAGCTATGTTTGTCTGGCAGCACAGTAGTGGTGGACTTATAGCAATTAATAATCAAATCTACTGGATCCTAACGCCGGTTATGATTGCCAATATGGATAAACAGAGCAGTCTAACAATAATAGGGTTTAAAAATAACTTAGACGGGACCTGGGAGTGTTCAATTGGTATGGAATCGACTAGCGTCTACCTATCGGTAGACGAAGGTATGGATATTTTGGATAGCAAAAGTTTATTGGCTCATTGTTAAAAAAATATAACATTTCTATCATGAGGGAAAAATTCATTTTAAACATTTCTATCATAAGGGAAAAATTCATTTTATTAGATGTCTTAGAGTTATCCTAAAATATCTCTATTCAAAACAATTTCTTAGAGTAATTAGTCGAGACTTTTTAAATTGTTTAGCGAACCATTCGACACTAAATTGTTAATTTTTATTTTGGAATCAATAACAGGGATCATCTTTTGGTCTGGTCTAAAAATGATAAAATTTGTTTTACCAATATTTAAAATTGGTTTGTTGGCCTTAAACCATTGATTAATTTTTTTTTAATTAGTTTTTAATGTATTAATAAGATTAAGGTTTTTATCGCATAAGAAGAAAGAGGTATTATCCGCAAAGGAAGTCACATTTAAAATATCACTTACTCTAAAAATATAATTTATATAAATAATAAATAAAAACCCATGATGGATCCCTGCGACCATGGAGGAAATATATTAATAGATTTTCTCCATGCTGCGACACTCCGCATTTAAAATTTTTGTAGTGGTGATTTAATATCATCCATATTTGTACAAATTGTTTTCATCCACTTAGATAGGTTATATCCAATTAAAACCAATTCCACGGATACCATAGTGTTGATCTTTTTTAACAATTTTATCGTGGTTCATAACATCAAAATCTTTTGATAGGTCTATAAATATACTAACTAGAAATTGAAAATTGCAAGTGAAGGCTGCGAAGTACAACTGCATATAAATGTTCTTCGAACAAAATTATTTATGCGAGTCAAGTGAAAATAATGAATAATAAAAATATAACAAATAATATGAGACACGACCCATTGTCTATATTAGAACACTTCTCATTGGGTAACAAAGTCGTAATTTTTCATTTTTGTCAAAAAGTGTCTATATATAGTGGTGAATTATGGTTTAGGTTTTTTTTTTATAAAGTTTCAAAAATTTCTATGTATGTGGAAAATGTAGTTGATTACCAAAGGTTACAATTTTTATTTTGAAGACTGCATGGTCTAGGAAGTGTACATTTTTTTTTTTATGGGGCAAGTTTCCAAGGGCAGGTTTTCTAGGGGCGAGTTGACTGCCAAAGAGTGTTGCCAAAGTGCGAGCCAGCGTGTTATTTGATCACAAGTGCGAGACATCGAAAGTGTGTGAGCCAGCGAGCCATGACGTCACGACAATAGATACGAGACGTTAACGAGTTGTGCGAGGTATCGGCTGAGATTTGTGGAGTACAATTCAAAAAACAACTATAGGTCTAATAATGAATTATTGTGATGTTAAATAGACAATGTTAGCTATCAAAGAGCGACGTTGTTTTTCATTGGGACCTTCGTCCCTTCAAGGCTAGGCCTATACCACCCTAGCTAGTATAGGCCGGCCTAGAGTGCTAGTGCGACATGCGGACGTTGGTACGAGTAGGTTAGTCTACAAACGTCGCCTAAAGTAATTGATTTTACCCGGCAGAATGAAAGAAGGAAACTCCGCTTTTCAGTCTTCTTAGGCCCTTTGTTGTTTTTTGACAAACAATGACCTTTCAGATGTCAAATTGCTGTCAAGAATATGAACTGGCTGCTTCGCAGCAATAACATTTTTTTATTTTCGAATGACGTGATTATATTTTTCTATGGCATGTGATGTGGAGTGTTTTGGGCTAAATCTGTACTGGTGGGGGTTTTAGTAGGCATATTTTGTAAGGTATGCCTACGCAAAATTTCACTAAAAAGATTTTTTTTTTTTGGAATAAAGCATATGCATTACTCTATATATTATAAACAATGGAAAAATGTTGGCATAAATTTTAGTTTTACGCAAAAGAATAAAAAAAATGAGAAATACAGACTATTTCTCATAGGAGATTACCATTTTCTCTACAATTCTTCGTTACTTGGCAAATTCAGAGGTTGTAGATCGCATCCGCTGGAATGCTCTCGCTTTTATGTACCGGTATACTTTATACAGTCAATAAAGTGCGCCCTCTCTAATGAAATTGGTTTTTGTACTTCGCATCTCGCACTCTGCCATCGATCAAGGACTTTTAACTGTTACCAAAGAACAGGAAGCTGGCTGGTTTAAAGGCAGGCTCAGGTCGACACGGAACTCAACTCAACTCAACTCAACTCAACTCAACTCGTCGACATGAGCGCTCCGCGCAACTGAAAGGAACTGACCGGAACTGAACGCAACTGAACGGAACTGACCGCAACCAAAGATACTAGAAATACAAGATAGAGTTCTCGCATTGTAAAAATGAGGCGGAAGTCGTGCCCAACGTAGGCGGCGCCCTTCTTTTTAACCATGCAAGTTTCCTATACTTCGTGCCCAACGTACAGGGCGCCCTTCTGTTGCTCAGTATATCCAGACGCAAAAGGCGCCCTTCCTTTTCCACTAAATGGAGGAAAACTTTTTCACTAAGAGTGCGTCCGGCCATGCGATTCTGCGCTGTATTCTTGTTTTATTCTTTACTGATTCATGATTATGCTTTAATTGTTTTGTGTATTATTTGGATAATAGCAACGATTTCTACCGCCACCAAGGAGGTTATGTATTCACCGATGTCACTGTCTGGGTGTC